AGCTTTCTATGCTGGCATATGATAGATGTAAATCTTTTTTAGTGTGAAGGTCCTCTTTGTAATGTAGAAGTCGATAGATTGATCTTTCTAATTCTGCTTTTAGGTCGAGTGGGAGCGTGCCAGCTAAGACCTGAAGTGCTGCGGTTGATGTGGTGCTATACGCACTGGTGATTTTTAACAGGATTACTCGCTGTATTTGATGTAGTTTTTGACATATTCTTGCTGTGCCATTCATCCAGACTGGGCAGCCGTAGAGGATCATGCGTTCAATTGCATTAAGGTATAGATGTTTTAACAGGCGCCCCTTTTGGCTCCACTTGTCTGTGATTATCCTGTTTAGTTTATTGATGATTCGATGCGTCTTATCTCGGACTTCCGTAAGATGTGATACCCACGTGAGCTTCTTATCAAGCGTGAATCCGAGGTATTTAATGGTATTCTGGCGTCGCAGTGGATGCCCTTCCCACTTTATGCGTGGTGGATTCGCGTCTATTTTTGAACTTTTTGGAAAGACTATCATCTGTGTCTTTTCAATACTGAAACACAGTTTGTTGTCTTGACTCCATTTTGCAAGCAATTTGAGTGCTGCGTCTGCTTTACGCTCTATTGTTGTCCTATTGCCTCCGTCTATTATGAGTATAATATCGTCGGCGTAGTAAGCTTGTATCTTGGCATTGTCTCCAAAGTTGATGTTCAGCGCTGAGTCTGCAATTATGTTCCACAAGATGGGTCCGATATTAGACCCCTGTGGGGCTCCTTTGTGGTAATTCATCGTGATATTTAAGCCGTCTCTTTTGTAGGTCACTTGACGTTCTGTGAGGTAGCTTGCGATCAGTTGGTAAAGATTCTTTGGACATCGCAGGTCTTTTAGTTTTGTTTTGAGCGCTGGCCACCATAGTTTATTGAATGCGGAAGCTACGTCAAGCGATATTATACACGTATGGAGGTTATTTTGTCTGTTATTTAAGATGATGTCTTGAACACGGTTGAGGGCGTCGGTGGTGCTCCGCCCTTTAGTAAACCCGAATTGGGCGGGGTTTAGTAGTTTGTTTTTGACCAGGTAATACGTTAATCTCTGCGTAAGCATCTTGTCAAGGACCTTGCCCCACGCTGAGAGTAAGCAGATAGGTCTGTAAGAACTGGGCATGGACTTTGGTTTTCCCTCTTTCTGGAACAATACTAGCTCTGCGTTTTTCCATTCCTTTGGAAAATAACCTAATTCAAGGCACTTGTTAAAGAGTGCTAGAATTTGTTTGTCGTCCGCGAGCCTAAGCTCTTCAATGGTTTCAATCGTGAGGCCATCCAGCCCAGGAGCTTTACCTCGGCGTGTTGAGTTTATCGTACGTTGCATTTCTTCGAGTGTGAACGGCTGATCGTCTTCCGAGTTTGGAATCTCGGTTGATTGGGAACGAATATCTGCATGGTATGTAGAGTCCTCGTTGGGGTCGTCTTCTGGAAAATGGAACCTCATGATTTCTCTAATTGTATCCTCAATTGTGCTCGTCATTGTGCCATCTTCTTTTTGAACTGAACCTATCTGTAATGGATCCATGCTCTTCCCTTTAGCTAGGTCGAAGTATGTCCCGAACGGAGAGCTAACAGTGATTTTGTTCCATGTCATGTCCCATGCTTTTTTCTTTTCTTTATACATCTTTTGCCGGTACTGTGCACGTACCCTCTGGTAAAGCAGCCTGTTATGGGTCCTTTTCTCTCTTTGATAGATCTCGTGAAGACTAGTGGTAACTTCTCTTACATATTTATCGATTTCTTCGATAGTTGTCAGATTTCTAGGGTCTGCTAAAGATTTTGAGACATACCTTTTGAAACTTAGCCAGTCGGTATGTCGTACATTGATTTTCGATCTTCTCCATGTTGGGTAATGAATGCTGGAGACGTCAAAATAGATATTATTATGATCGCTATTGTTTGCTTCGTCCGTTACCTTCCAATTATCGATCCGGATTCTGTCTCTACTTATGATAAGTGTGAGGTCAATCCAGCTGTTGCCACTTACTCCTGCGAAGGTTGGCGTATCCCCTATCTCATTGACTATCGATAGTCCAGTGCTGGCAATGAATTCGCATACTTTGAGGCCTCGTGTGTCCGTATTATGTGAGCCCCATAGGGGACTTTTGGCATTGAAATCTCCGGTAATTATTGTAGTCATGTTGTTATTGTCCTGCATAAACCTTTCTAGGGTTGTCAGGATTGGTGCAATATCTCGCGATGGAGGACAGTATACCGTGATTAGTATAAATCTTGAGTCACTGCCTATTGCAAGCGCTATAATCTCCGGAGAGCTGAAAAGTTCCAGAACTGGGAGATTTGAGTCCGCTATAATCACTGCAGTTATTGCGTCTGTTCGAGAGTAGAACTTCCTATATTTTGTGGGGAATCCGTACAGTTTGTTCTGTACTGTGTACGGTTCCTGGATACATGCTACTTTGAGTTTGTCGTTTTGTTCAAAATTTATCTTTAAGTTTTCTGTTGCACTCCTGGAGTGCTTAAGATTAATTTGGATTATTTGGATACTATCCATAATTTGTTCGTTGTTTTAATCTTCACTGAAATTATCACACAATATAGAAGTATTGTTCTAGAGAATATATAAAGGCTCTCCAGTGCTTCAAAAATAGACAAATAAGAAGCAAAAGCTTCAAGTATGGACAATAAATCCAAAATATTTTAAAATAATATAAAAAATAGAAACTGAAATCACAGAGCATCTCAAAATAAGGGCACTGAAGTAAAATATTAAAGAAAATTCGGTACTTACGTACTATGACGACCAACTAGATATCTCGTCAAAACTGGCGACCCTTGTAGATTATACAGGTTAACCCTAACATAGGTTAATAGAGGGTACTAAAATAAAGAGTATTACCCTGCACTAGTCCCACACTTGCTATTACCACACCATTTCTAGTCAGAGTTCCAGACTGGAAGGCAACAGCATTAATGCGTGACATCGAAAATAACATTGCCAAAGGCTCAACAATAATGTCAAATTCGTGGCCTGGATATCAAACAGAGGAGCTCATTGCTGCCGGTTTTGAACATTTTAAGGTGAATCATCAATACAATTTTGTTGACCCATCTACACAGACTGATACGCAACACGTTGAAAGGATGTGGGTTTCCGCAAAATGGAGGAACAAGCGACAACGTGGGAAAAGCCGCCATCACTTGGATAACTTTTTGGTTTTTACGTTTTGTTCCTTTATAATTAGGCTTTATTTTTAAAAGAATTTATAAACATAAACTAAAAAACACCAATAAAATGTTTGTTAGCAAATACTGCCAAGGTAGTCATTATAGTACACAAGTACTGAAAATTCTACAGTCACAAAGTAATGTGGAAAAATTAAGTTTCTAGAAGTGAAAATAAAACTTTCTTTCTATAATTTATAAAATATGATGACGGTTAATGTTACTGAATTTCCACCTGTCTGTATTTGAAAACATGGCAAATACATCACTTATTGTGATCAACCAATTGATTAATTATCAAAACATTACAGAATGAATTTTTTAAACTTTGATAAAGTCAAAATAAATTATCAAAACTGTCAAATGTGAGTGATGTTGCTAAATAAGGGACCCAGCCAACAAAGTGCTTGGTTTTGATTTAGTCAATCACTTCAAATTAGGAAAAAAAGCAAGTTTGGCATAGATTTTGAATAAGTCTCTTAATTTTAGGAGAAATCAGATTGCTATTCTTCAGAAAAAGGGGAAAAAAAAATTCTGGAGAATTTGGTTTTCTTCCTGAAACAATCTATGCCAAACTAAGGATTTTAAATTTTCCATTATCAAGTTCTCCTTCAATCTAATTTGACACAATCGCTGAAAACTAAGAGAATAATTGTTTTGTTTTGGTTTTGATGACCTGCTGTTAGACTCTTAACCCTTTTTTATCATTTAAATTTTGAATTAATTACTATTTCTTGATTATCATCATGATTTACAGCTGCAACACTTCAAATTCCTCAGAGAATATGCATCTTCTCAATAAAATTTTGACTAAAATACCAAATTACTTTGGTTTCTAAAACAAAAATGCAAACATGGTATTACAAAAAAAATACAAGAATTTATTTTCTGGCTCTTTTTAGCAATTATTAACAGACCCATAAAGGCTGTTAGCTCCAAATCTGCTGCAGTGGTCTATTATGTAGTACATGATATTGTATCAAAAAGCAAATTTATCAGTTCACTTCCTTCATATTTTTAATTCAGTTTCTAAACACACATAACAACTTAATTTTCATTTAACCTGGGGTCTCTTCTTTTTCTCATTGTTTCAGCTTTCAGTATTTTATCATTCATAGCATTTTTAGAATGAACTTAAGAACTGTTATTACTAACAGAAGTATCTTACATAAGTATCACTGATCGAGCAGTTCTCATAAATTCAATAATTAAAAACACTGTTTCTTAGTAAGTTTAAACTTCACATTATGTTCTCTCTTTTAATAAAACTAATCATTATGCTCATAAAGATCTAGATTCAGTTTTTAAAACTCTAAAGAATTATAAAATTTTCTGGCCAGTAATTTCTAAAACACTAGTCATTCTGCTTTTGGAAAATTCAGACTTAAATGTGTTTAAAATTTAATAACAATGCACAAAAAATTTAATAACAATGCACAAAAAATTTATATTCATAAGAAATTCACAATTTTGATTGCATATCTGTTTCTACTTAAATTATTTAAAATATTTCAGCAGTTTGGTGAATTTGCTAAAGTTTTTCCTATCTACTACTAAAATTTACCATTTTAATTATTATCTAATTCTACCTCTTAAAATATACTACCTTTGAAATTAAGATTTTTTTTTTTTTTTTTTTTTCTTTTCCTCACCTTTCCTAGGCAGTAGGAAACATGATTAGGTAATTTTTTTTTTCTTCTTTCATATTTTAGTTCAAAATAATTTTAAAGGTAAAATCAGATTCAGACTTGAAGTCCCTTTTTTCAAACACTGAAAATTATAATCGTTACCTGTCGTTTAATTGGTGCACACTTCTGTAGTATAAGCAAAGAACCTTTAGTAGTTACATCATCTTCAGATTCAACACATAGCTCAGTTCCAGCTAACTGAATCTTTAAAAGAATCAAAATGAAAATTATTTAGCATCAAAATTCATATCTGTTTAATATATAGTAAATATAATTTTAATTGTAATAATTCCTAAAATTAAATTTCAGTTGGTGTGAATCAAATTATAACAACATGAGTATTATTTACAAGTATTTATAGTTTTTTTGGGGGGAGGGGAGGTGTTAACTTTGTCAAAGTGTTTTCTCTCTGCATTTGAAAATATTTTATAGAAAAGGTCATAATCTGCTGGAAGTCAGCTTAAACTTAAAAAAAGGTATTTTATTCATGGCACATTTGCATATAATATCTATTATTATGCAAAAAATAACACCACCTTTTTACTACCAACTCCTGTACAAGCAGATAGATTGTGCTGAAGTTTCTCTTTCATTTCATAAACCTTTCCTCAATAATAAGGCCCTGTGAACATCAGACTTCTTCAGGGAAGAAAACAAATAAATACAGCATCTAATCAGTACACAAAAATAACCCACTGCATGAGTGAATAAAGACATTCTACAAAACAGTTCCTTCCAAGATAATATCTCAAACCAATATTCTTAGAAGCTCAACACTCAAATAACTCTCCCCAACATTTATAACTGTTACCAATATATCCTTTATAACTGTTACTGTGCGTCAATAAGTCTGTGATAACACTATTTTATCACAGATTTATAGATACAAGCATAAAAATTTAGTTCTAGAACTTAAATTTTTATTCCTGGTGCAATCTTATTTAGGACATGAAGTAAACTTTATTCTTCAAAGTGCTGAATTTTAGAGCAAGTTAGACATATCATCAATGCATTAAACTTGCTAAACATTTCCTCAAAGCTGCCTTGTCCAAGTGTTTTGGAAGATACAGTTCAGTGGACACTGTTAGATATGGGACTGTGCAGCAGCTACCTGGACCATGGATAAGTGGAAGACAATTATCTGGTTGAATGAATCATGATTTCTCATTTATCACATTGATGATCGTGACAAGGTATGCCTTCTTCCAAGAGAAAGTTGCTTCCTCCTGTATGGCAGGTCATACATAGGCTGGTGGTGGCAGTGTTATGCTTTGGGAGACATTCTCACAGACAGCTTTGGGACTCTAGTTGCGGTAGAATAGACCATGAAAGCTGCAGACTATCAGAACATAACTGCAGATAACTTGCACCTTGACATGGCATTTGTCTTCCCAACTGGAAATGGAATCTTCCAGGAGGACATTGCCCCATGTCATAAGCCTTGAATTGTGTTGGAGTGGTTCAATGAGCATATGGATGAATTATAACTAATGTCTTGGCCGCCTAACACATCTCTTAATTTGATACAGCATATTTGGGATGTCATGGAAAGGCAGCTAAGAGCTCAAACATCACCATGTTAGAATATTTTAACTTTGCGTGACCGCTGCTTAGACATTTGGTACAACCTGTCTCCAGTCATCTACCAAGAACTTGTGGCATCTATGCCAAAGCAAATTGTAGCTACTTTGCATGCCAAAGGTTGCACAGTACATTGTTGAGTAGATGGTCATACTGTTTTGGCTCTTCAGTGTATATATTAAATTCATATATATATGCAATGGTTCTGGATATGCATTTGCTATAAAAACGTATTGATCGTAGCCCAATTTTAATCACCTATACATCTTTTTCTCTTTATTACTTATGTTGAGTTTCATTGTGATCAAATAATTTTCCTAAATTTGCAAAATTAAGACAGAATTCATATGCATATATGCATACATGTCTGATACACAAAACTGAATATACAGACCAATGTTTCCCAATCTATTGTATGCTTCCAACCCTAGAAAATGCTTGGCTGATGTTCTCAGTTTACTACAAAAATAATACGTTTCATTAATGCTTGCTACCCTGAAGTCTTTCAAATAAAGCAAGATTCAGCACTTAAGAATACACTCTTTAATCACAGCCCCTCAAATTCCATCTCACTTTCAGGGGGCCCACGAACATCACTATTTGAAACTCCTTATAAAGATGTAAAAATGTACAAACTAATTTATCTAAAATTATAGAAGATAAGATAGTGTAAAGTTGCAGAGTATATGCTTTTTGGAAGCACTAATGATTAACAAGTAGAGTTCTGCATGAAACTTGGGAAACTTAATTATTAACATGAATTATATTGGAAAACTTAATAAAAACATGGATTTATATCCTGCACTATAGTACAAGTATATTATCAAATTTCTAAACACTTATTCATACTATACAATCAATTTAAAATAATGCAATAATCAATATTAAATGAAAGAAAAACTTTTGTTTCTTTTACATTAAAAAATAATGTATACTTTCTGAAAACCATCAGTTTATTTATTTATTTATCTACTTCCTTATTTTTTAAATGGCCTCTTTTTTATTATATTGCATGATTTTACAAAAATCGTAAAACAATTATTCAATAAATTGTAGGTCATATTTTAACTGACAAATTGTTATGTTTAAATTTGAAGACCCTAAAATTAGTTTGAATTAATTTGTAACAACAATTTTTAGTAATGATATAAGTAATACAAACCTGAAACCTGAATAAGATTTCAGCTGTCACATGCTTCCACTCCATAGGAGATTTTTTTAATTTTGATAAGTGGACTTTCTTGGCTGAAAGATTACTTTTGACTTGAGGTGGCCCTAGTTCTGGATATATATTTTTCATGTACCAATCAAATGACTTGCATTGCAGTTTTTTCCTTAATTCAATTCTACTGGAAATATCTCCATAACTTTTATCTCGGGCATCAGGTCGAACCTTAAAGAAATTCTCCTAGGGAAAAAAATTATTATGTCAATGATTCTGACACTAAAAAACTTGTATCGCTATGATTAAACAGAATGCATCTCAACTCTAAAAGACAAATATCTGTAAGATCAAATTCAAACAAATCTAAACTGGCGTAGGACTTTTATTTTCAGGAAGGGGGGGGAATCAGAATTCTATCATTGGGAAGAAAATGATAACAGAGTTTATGTAAATGCCTAGATTCTCAATCTCAGAAAGAATCAGACTATGCAAATTTCAGTAACAGACCTTACAATTTGGCAGGTATAAAAGAGTGAACACAAATCATATCTGTTTAATAAGAGTGATGTGCAATGCTAACTTAAAGAGATCAAGCCTTGCAGGTAAAGCTTTGCTATACCCTGAATTCAGAGCAATTAATTATTGTTAATCAATTTTTAAAACACAGAATAATTTTTTAATAATTTTTACTCAGTTTTTAGCAAAAAAACTTATTTTTGTATGGCATTTTAAAGTTAAATTTTTTGGTCCTAAGAAGTGGATCTTCTAGTTTAAATATATACAGTACAAAACCAAGATCCCACTCATCGGGACATCATCGGGTGATTCTGGATTTTTGATTTTTCCGGATATTAGATCATCAGTTTAAATCTAGTAAGATGGCATGTAGAAATTAGAAAATTAAAAATATGGAATTGTGATTTATGACATAATGAAGCATTTTGTGATCTAAAGAGTATCAAAATACACAAAAAAAGCTTAATATTTATTTGTTTACTTTATTAAACATTTCTTTAAATCTAAATTGTTTAAGTTGCTTCTTTTTTTGTGCTAATACTTTCTGTTTAATTATATAGACAGGCATAACTTCTTCTTCAGCTAACTTTATAAAATTAAAAATATGGAATCGTGATTTATGAAATAAAGAAGTATTTTATGATCTAAAGGGAATCAAAATTTACAAAAAAAAAAAAAAAAGCTTAATATTTATTTGTTTACTTTATTAAACATTTCTTTCAATAAACATTGTTTAAGTTGCTTCCTTTTTTGTTCTAATACTTTCTGTTTAATTATATAGACAGACATAATTTCTTGTTCAGTTACAAAGTTCCACTGCTTAAGTTCTGTAGTTGTCGAGTCGAGAATTTCGACTAACTTGTCAATCAAAATTTTTCTATTTGCAATAACCTCTCTGTCACTTTCTTCACTATTGGTAGTAGTATTTTCTGGATCTAGAACAAAGTGACCACATTTTCATTGAGACAAAGCGAGACAAATGGAATGAAATAGGAATTATAATTTAGTTATGAAAGCAGACCAATAATTCAAAAAAATATATTTTGTTATATATATTCATATACTTGTCTATAAATATACAAATATATTTGATTATTAACTATTGGTAACTATAAAAATATTTGTAAAAAACAACAATTTGAATAATATGTTTTTAAATTAATTTAATATTTTATTTAAAAAATAATGATTTTCTTTCACGGTAATATTTTTTATCCGAGTGAATACTTTGCAATAGATTCGGATCATTTATTAAAATGTCGTGAAATTTCTCACATGAATTGGTCAAATTATATTTTAGGCTTAATACAGATTTTAAAGTTTTAAGCTTCAACTGCTTTCCCCCCCCCCAATTGTCCATATTTTATTGATATTAGAAAAAACATGTTCTGTTGCTGCAACTGTTCCTGGAAGGGAGAGCATTTGTTCTACAATTTTCAAAATATTTTCATAAGGAATATTATTCTGTTTAAAATGAAGGAATAACTCAATCCATTTTTTGTCTGTTTCACATTTGCAGACAACCAACATTTAGTTTTTTCATCAGTAACATATCTTTTTACCAATGACACCTCATCAAAAAGATCATTTTTGATAATATTATTTTTCGGAAAATGGTTATTAATATATTAAAAAGATTTTCCACATATTCCCATAAAATCTCCTTTTTTAATATTGCCCAATGAAAGTTTTTAATATCCTTGAGTTGAACTGTCCTTTCTTCAAGATATTCCAAGCAGTTATAAAAATTTCTGACTTCTTTCAGAAAATCAGGTCATTTAATATGGCACCTTGTTCTTCCAACCTAGTGATGTCCTTTCGAATAACTAAAGGAACATAATCGTTATCCATTCTTCCTCGCAATATTTTGTTTAAATTATTGATTTCATTTGACATTTCCATAACTGAAATTTTGTCCCCTTCAATAATTTTCACAGCATTGTGAAATAATGAAGCTTGGTTGAGGATGAACTGAAGATAAATTTATGATGTGTCATTTTCAAAAAACTGCTACAATATTCTTGAACATTTATATTATTTATTCTTGAACATATAATTTGAACAATAAAATTATTGCCTCATGATAGACAATAATTTTATTGTTCAAATTATTCTTTTTTAAAATAGTACTTATTGAATCAAAAACTAACTATGTTTAGGCATCGCTGTATGAGTCATTACTCAAGTTTTCATGTGTTGATAAACATGTGGTTATGAAAGCAAAATATAATAAATAATGATTTTCCAGTTTGGCATCAGGATTATGAAATATTAGTAGTCGCAAAATCAACAATGTTTCAGTCTGAGATGTATGCCAAGCAGATATGCAGCTACAGAGCCAAATTATCGATCACACAAATTTATGTTAAAATGATTGTTTCTTCAATAACGAGGTATTTTATTTAGTGCTGAAGTGAAATAAAGAATCAGGATTCTCCAACAATGTTTTATTATGGGGAAAAAATCAAATGCATATGCGTAAAGCATAAAAAAAGTCCTAACAAAATTTTTTGGTGCCTTAAAGGTCTGGATTTTAGATCATTCGGAATATTGGACATCTCGGACTTTGTACTGTATATATATATAGTTTTTAGTTTAAAAAGAAATTACTTTTTTAATAGATTATCCTATCTGAGGAAAAACGGAACAGCCAATAAATTGTGCCTGTAGACTGGAAATGAAAAAAATACACACCATAATACCCCAACCACAGGCTTGTCTCCGTCCTACTGTGCATCCGGGAGACAGGGTTTCATTTGGAAATCGGCATATTAGCATGCGCCCGTCAACACATTGGACCAGAAAACGTGATTCGGGAGACCATACAACTTTTTACCATTTTTCTAATGTCCAATTCCAATGTTTCTTGGCCCATTGCAGACGCAGTTGCTATTATGTGCTGTCAGTGCAGGGACATGCTTCGGCCTGTGGCAGTGTAGGCCTATAGGCAGCAATGTACACTGCACAGTGTGTTGAGAATCACTGCCTGGGTTGTCACTGTAATAGCTAATGGTGATTTTGGCTGTTGTAGCTTTTCAGTCATGGCAAAAAATATGTAGCAATCTCTGCTCTCCTCTGGAATCAATAAGCTGTCAACAACACACTGCTGGCCGGAAACTTGTTGTTTCACCATTCATACACCACTTTCAATATGTGCTCACAATAGCTGCAGCTGCATGTGAACAGCCCACTAAACGCATCGTTTCTGATACTGATGTTCCCAGTCACTGAACCATAGCGATTTGACCTTTATCAAAGTCTGATAAATCAGTTGCTTTTCCCATTATGTCGCTAATCGCACAATGTTTGGAAAGACAATGAATAGCCGCTTTATATACTCCAACATCAGGCATGAATGCACAGCTGTTTTGTTCCTTGGCAAGTCCACTGTTATGGATGGAGGGTGGTCATAACGTAATGGCTCTTTGGTGTATAGTAACTTTACACTGCCTATGTTAATTTATTATAAACATGCATTTAGAAGCATTTTTATGAGCTTCTGTAAAACATCTTGTTTTGAAAAAAATGATGGAAAATTTATATCTACATTTAAAAGATTCATCAACAATATCTTTGATAATAGAATTTATTTTCTCCTGAATTTATAAAATTTTATTTATAAAATCAAATAATAAATTGCGTAATTATTCAGAAAATAATGAACCATTGAAAAAAACACACATACGATGTACTCATCCATCCAGACGTGAGCAACACGCAAGGAATTGTATGTCAGGGTATCTTCTCCATCAGGAGAACCATATGGCCTGCGACGCCGAAAGACATGCCCCACTCGAGAACATGGTATGATTTCTAATTTACCACCACACATCCAAATCTATATTCAGTGAGAAAGTTATGAGATTTCAGTTTAACAGTTACCAACATTTGCAATAGTTTTCATAGTTTTCAAATTATAACAAAGAACAAAAGATATTTATTAAAATTCACAGAGAGCATTTTACAAATTTATAGAACACTTAAAAATACAAATAACAGTATATACTATAATACATTTTAAAAGAGGACAAAACTAATTTAAACCATATTTAAAGAACAGATATTCAAAGCTATTATAACAGCTATTCCATGTTTGAAAGAATGGAGCTATCCATTTTAATGACCATGTCTTTTTCTACCATTTGGCTGAAAGTGTAGGATGAAATATCAAGTTTGAAGCGTCAGATGACTTACAAAGATCTTTCAAAGATTTCTTTCAAAGATCTTTGTATTAAGGATCTGGTTTTCTCTGTTTTTCCATTTTCATTCTTGCTGCTGCAGAATGTACAACTGTATTTATGCCTGATATGCAGACACTTGCACTGCTTTGGAATATATTGTACTTTCACAAGATTTCTTGGAATTGTTTCATTTTGTAGCAATATGTCAAAAAGGAAACTGTGACTGGCTGAAGAAGAAATATGAAAGCTCTTTTTTAAAAGTTTGTGAAATGCTAAATTATGTAACATCCTAAAATACAAGGTACTGAAGATAACAACTAACTACCATGTAACTTCTTTTTCCCATTCTTTAATAAACTATATACACTGAAAAATTTTCCCCTTCCAGTATGAACGTTTTCTGTCAAAGTTACCACAATTTTGTATAATAGTACAGTATAACAGATTTATACAGCAACCCACATTCTCTAAGTAAAGCTTGAAATTAGTAAACAAACAAAACAAAAAAGGAAAAAGGTAATTTGCAAGCACATATAGTACTTCCCACTGTGATTTTGTACTATTAAATAAGTTAACATTTTTGGTAAATTAAATTTCTTCTATTATTAATAACTTAAATATAATACTACTTGCTAATTTTCAATACACTGAAATGTTACTTGTTCAAATAACCCTCCATTTTCTAATTTTTAAAACTAAATACATTTGTTGAAACTCTCACTGACAACCACATGATTTGCGCATGCGCGCAGCAAAAACTAAAACAGAACTTTTTTAACTGAACTTTGAGAACTCGTGATGGACGTTTGAGTGAAACATGTAATCCTTATTCTGTGTTATATACATATTTTAGTTTAGTGATGTGATTGTAAATTAAATATCTTATTATCTTAGAAGCCTCTCTCTTTCTGTGAGTAGTGCATCGATGAATGAAATAAACACTCCCGATACGCCTTTGGATTAGAAAGAAGATCGACTAAAAGGTAAGCCTTTTTACCTTTTATTTTCTAAGAAATTATTATGATTACACATTTTTTGGCATCCCGTACCGCGAATGAAAGCAAATTGTTGATACTTGTTGAATTATTGAATACTAAACAATGACAGAATTCATCGATACATTGAAAAGGAAACGCGGCCACATAAGGGCTGCCGTTACAAAATTAATTGGCTGAATCGAAACTGAATTATCAAAAACAGAAGTGAATGCAGAGGAACTAGAAATTTCCTTAGAACTCTTAAATGAAAAATCGATCGAGTTAAAGCAAATAGATGCCGATATAGAAAAATTAATAGACATAAAGGATCTAGACCAGGAATTAAACGGTGTTGACGAATATCGTGAAAGAATAACTACATTTAAATACAAAGCTAACAAAAAATTGAAAGAAATTAATATAGAACAACAAAAATTTAGTGTGTTAAGAAGCACTGAACAGTTAAGTATTATAGAAAACATTAAAAGCGAAAATCATAATGTGAAGCTTCCTAAACTTACGATTCCGAAGTTTTATGGCGAGAGCTGCGAATGGCTGACATTTTGGAACACTTTTTCATTAGCCATACACCAAAATAAAACGCTTGACGCTATAAGCAAATTTAATTATTTGAAATCCCTTTTGGGAGGTAATGTTTATAACACCATTGACGGTTTCGATTTAACCCGAAGAAAATTACGAAACTTCAGTTAAACTCCTCACAGAAAGATTTGGAAATAAAGATGTACTACTAAACGCCCATATAGACAAATTACTGAAAATAAGACCTCTAAAGGATTCTAATGACATTCAAAATTTCCAATTAAGTTATTCAATTACATACAAAAACATATTCGATGTCTTGAATCATTAAATATGACCTCAGAAACATATGGAGCACACCTATTTTGCTTAAAACATTGCCTGCAGATTTGGTTTTGGAATATAATAAAACACTTCGAAAATAAATTACGATTTGAATCACCTAGTGGAATTTCTTTCTCAGCAATTAATTGCAAGGGAAAAGCTTTGCAATCGAAAGAAGCACCGTCAATTTCTCCTCATCCCCCCCCCCCCCCCCGACAAACAAAACGCGAAAGCAAGCTGTCAACTTGGCATGATAAACGGGTACCAGATGTATCGTCTGCCTCGCAGTTGCTGTCTACAAATGAGAATCAAAATTATAAACATTCAAACTGCATATTTTGCGATTCAGATCATGAAAGTTATGAATGTCGGAATGCGAGTCGTTTAACCTTAGATGAAAAAAAGCAAAAATTGCTGAATCACACGGATTCTGTTTTAAATGTTTGAAACGGAACCATATTTCCCGCTTATGCAAAACCAAAGTTAAATGTTCCATATGCGGTAAAGCTCATTTGTCAATAATGTGCAACTCTCACGGAAATAATTCTACAGACATTATTGGGGATGAAAATAATAAAAAAGACTGTGTTCTGACAAATAAATCTTGCATGCAGTTAGTAAATTTGCAAACTTTAATATTAAAACTTCGTGGGGATGGGATCGAAAAATATGTGAGAATTTTAATAGATAGTGGTTCCCAGCGATCCTACATTTCGAAGTATGCAGTTAGTATAATGAATTATAAAACAAGTGGTAAAGAAGAATTAATCCATGGTTTGTTCGGAGGAATTGAAAAGAAAGAAACTCATAGTAAATATTTAATTAGATTGAGTAGTCTTAAAGGTGATTATCACTGTAATTTTCAGGTTTTGGATCAGGATAAAATATGTACTGACATTCCTCAAATTCGTAGAGATACATATCTTATTGAACTGCGAAAACATGGAATTTATTTAACTGACATGCAGAATAAATCTTTGATTTGATGTATGAAAAATCACCTTTAAAAATTCATGTTCTTTTAGGTGCAGATGTGGCAGGAAAGCTTCTAACAGGGAAAGTTAGACAACTAAAATGTGGGTTATCATGCGTACACACTAGATTAGGATGGACAATGATGGGGAAAAATGAAAAGCGTGAGTTCTCTGACAGTACGAAAACTGTATTGTCACTTCATGTTAATGATGCTAAAATTTCGGATTTACGGTGTCTTGACTCGTTAATGAATAACGGATCTCTGCTACAACCCACACAAGAAAGGAAATTAATGAAATCGCTAAAACATAATTTTGTCAGTCATTAAAGAGAGATAGTGAGGGTAGATATCAGGTCTCTCTTCCTTGGTTAGAAGGGCATGAGGTTTTACCTGACAACAGATTATTAGCAGAGAAAAGGTTAAAATCCTGCATCAAAAATCTTCAGTCAAAAAACTGTCTGAAAGAGTATGAAAATATTTTTAGCAAATGGGCTGAAAAAGGTATTATAGAATCTGTTGAAGATAAGAAAACCAAAAATTGTCATTAACTACCACATAGGGCTGTAATTAAGCAAAGTTCAACCACAAAGATTAGACCTGTGTTCGATGCCTCAGCGAAGGAAAGGAATGGTGTGTGTCCTTAAATGACTGTTTAGAAAAGGGCCCAAATTATTTGGAATTAATACCGAGTATTTTAAACAGATTTCGCCTAGGTAAATACGGGGTTATCTCAGATATATGTAAGGCCTTTTTGCAAATAGGTGTCTGTCTTCGAGATAGAGACTTTCTTAGATTTCTCTGGTGGGAAGAAGGAGATTCCGAAAAATTTAAAATATATCGACATAAGCGCGTTGTGTTTGGCGTTAATGGCAGTCCTTTTTTTCTCGCCGCCACACTGAATTATCATCTCGAGAATGTTCCTGAACATCAACAAGAGGTAGCTAAGAAATTAAGTGAATCAATGTACGTCGACAATTGTGTGGCCAGCATTGATACTATTGAAGGACTAAACACTTTCATTAATGTGTCGAAGGAAATTATGTCGACTGCTAAATTTGATTTAA